CTGCTGCTGCTGATGATGATGATGGACTGGAACGTCGAACTAGCGTTTGTTGTTTTTCACGACTGTGGCTGTCGTGGGGTCCGTATACCCCCCCCCCCCCCCCACTCCACCTACCCCACAATTTTCAAATACGGCTCAGAGTTACCCACGCAGATTTTGGAGCGAGAGAGAAACAAAAATGTCCTGGCGATATAGAGCCCCGTGGTTGTTTCCCCCCCCTCCCCTTTCAACGCCGCGGCGACGACGTGAAAGACACGCCGCTTGCGCCGATGACGAACAACTTTAGATACGCGGCGGCGCACGGGCAGGCCCGTGAGCTCGGGCACTGAGTCACGAGGGCACAGGAGTTTGTGTAAATGTAGCATGACTGTCATTCCGTAGCAGAGGTCGCAAACGGGTTTTGATTCCTTACCCGTACCCGGCCGCACCAGGGTCGCAAACGGGTACCCGTACCCGGCCGTACCCGTACCCTACCCGTACCCGTACCCTACCCGGCCGGGTACGGGTAGGGTACGGGTATCGGGTACCCGATTGCGATCTCTGGGATGAAGCCATGTTGCAGGCGCGGGTGGGTTGATTCTAGGAACTTGAATTGTGAGAAGAGACAAAACGTTGGGAAATGAGTGACAAACAGTTACTCACCAGTGATTCACGGTCTACCCGTACCCGGCCGCACCAGGGTCGCAAGCGGGTACCAGTACCCGGCCGGGTACGGGTAGCCGGGTATCGGGTAGGGTACGGGTATCGGGTACCCGGTTGCGACCTCTGTTCCGTAGGAACCGTTATGAAATTGGGGGGTGGCGGGGGCGGGGATGGGGCGTGAGGGGCGGGGGGTGGGGGAGAACTTCGCGTATTTCCGATCGTCATCGACGCAGTCACCACCGCGGCGGGGTCGTTCGTTGGTGGGGTGCTCTCGCAACTCCCACCGCTGTGTCTGTGGCCCCCCGCTGCTGATAGGAATCATCAAATCCTAAGGTAAACTAAAACTATAAACTACTTTTGCATTTTGCCAGGTCAGGCCCTCTGAGCTCCACTGTATCGCTCTTTTTCAGAAGCGACCCGGCCACCAACGAAAGCTCAATGGGGTGGCTTCTTCTTGTAAAGTAGTAACTCGGCAGGAGACGACTTCACGGGTAGCACACTCTTTATTTTCACCAACTTGTAGTTACACGGATGACTAACACCCTACTTCGTTACACGGGTGACCAACACCCACTTAGCTACACGGGTGACGGACACCCACTCAACTACAACTTCGTTACACGGGTGACCAACACCCACTTAGCTACACGGGTGACCAACACCCACTCAGCTACACGGGTGACCAACACCCACTCAGCTACACGGGTGACTAACACCCACTCAGCTACACGGGTGACCAACACCCACTCAGCTACACGGGTGACTAACACCCACTCAGCTACACGGGTGACCAACACCCACTCAGCTGTACTGACACGGGCTCTTACGCCCTGTAGCCTTCCGGGACACACCCAGCCGGGGTGCCCGTCTCGGCTCTGGGTACCACCGTCCCGACCCACACGGGCGTCGGACTACGGTCCCCCCAGTCTCGGCTCCGAGCCACACAGGGCCCCTACCTCCTCCACCCCGTCTTCGGTCTTCAACTGGTTAACACTGACCACGAGTGCTCTCGCGCGTCCCCCTTTATACCCCTCCTGCGGACGTCGCTGAGAGTACTCACTTATCTGACCAATCACTGCGCACTCGCTACGATCCTCTTTTCCCAGCTTGTGTGAGCGCGCCTCACCACCGGCGCGCGCGTCCATGCCACGCCCACACCGCGTGCCCAACCCCGCGCCCCGTGATCCATCACTGCCGGCGCACGTCAATACCACCACTACATCCTCATCGTGTGGACATTTACAGCGGCCAAATACTCTGAACGCGCCGTGATGTTGAGTCTAAATGTGGAGGGGAAAACCGGAGGACCCGGATAAAAATCCACGTGACCACCACGGGGAGAGAGAGAGACACGCAAACTCCAAATATACAGCAGCAGGCGTCAGGGTTGGGATCGAGCCCACAACCTCCTGTGTACCGGGCGAAGGAGTGAACATCTCGGCACCAAGCCTGGGTTACGGTAACGAGCCCAATCAATCCACCCACAGCTCCAAGGCCAACCTGCAAAACTCTCAAACTAATTTTTCGTATTGCACCCTCCGTGACCCCCCCACCCTCGCCCCCCACCGACTCTTGAGGATTGGACAAAGTTAATCAATAAGCAGGGTTTGAGCGGGGGACGAGGGTCCCAAACGAGGTCTGTGTTTGAACTGCGACGCCGCGCATGCCAAATGTGAAATGCGAACGCAAAGGGAAGAGCCGAGTTTGGCAGCGGGACACCACGGACAGAGTGTTTGGGGGAGGAGAGAGAGAACGACCCAACCAGACTCACTTGCCTATCGTTCTAGCCACACCAGCCAACAGCGGCCATGCCCCCGGCTACCACCGCACCCTAACACACTCGCCAATCAACCACAGTGTCAATACCAACCACACCATCCAGCCAGGGCCCTGTCTTACTACCACTGCACCCTAACACACTCGCCAATCAGCGCACAGTGTCAATACCAACCCCACCAGCCAGCCAGGGCCCTGTCTTACTACCACTGCACCCTAACACACTCGCCAACCAGACCAGTCAAACTGTAGCACGAGCACTGCTCCTAACCCTGACCATACTGACTAATCAGACCGTACCCTTAACCATTCAACCCTCCGACTAAACTAGTCAAGCAAGCGCTCGTACTCACCCTATCCCTAACCCTAACTTGACCTCGAGTAGCCCCACGTCCGGTGCGTCGCCATGGCGCACTCTTCTTCACTTGCCTTGTGCCACGTTCAGTTCCTGGTGTTCACCCCGTGACAGTCGGGAGCGCCACACAGCGGTACGGTGTGTGGTATGGTGAGGTGTGGTGGTATGGTGAGGTGTGGTGGTATGGTGAGGTGTGGTGGTGAGGTGTGTGTGGCGGTACGGTGCGTGGTATGGTGAGGTGTGGTGGTATGGTGAGGTGTGGTGGTATGGTGCATGTGGTATGGTGCGTATGGTGGTGAGGGGTGTGTGGTATGGTGAGGTGTGTGTGGTATGGTGAGGTGTGTGGTATGGTGTGTGTGGTATGGTGAGGTGTATGTGGTATGGTGTGTGTGGTATGGTGTGTGTGGTGGTGAGGTGTGTGTGGTATGGTGAGGTGTGGTGGTGAGGTGTGCGTGGTATGGTGCTTGTGGTGGTTAGGGGTGTGTGGTGGTGAGGGGTGTGTGGTGGTGAGGTGTGTGTGGTATGGTGAGGTGTGGTGGTGAGGTGTGCGTGGTATGGTGCTTGTGGTGGTTAGGGGTGTGTGGTGGTGAGGGGTGTGTGGTGGTGAGGTGTGTGTGGTATGGTGCGTGTGGTGGTGAGGTGTGCGTGGTATGGTGCTTGTGGTGGTTAGGGGTGTGTGGTGGTGAGGTGTGCGTGGTATGGTGAGGTGTGGTGGTATGGTGAGGTGTGGTGGTGAGGTGTGCGTGGTATGGTGCTTGTGGTGGTTAGGGGTGTGTGGTGGTGAGGGGTGTGTGGTGGTGAGGTGTGTGTGGTATGGTGCGTGTGGTGGTGAGGTGTGCGTGGTATGGTGCTTGTGGTGGTTAGGGGTGTGTGGTGGTGAGGTGTGCGTGGTATGGTGAGGTGTGGTGGTATGGTGAGGTGTGGTGGTGAGGGGTGTGTGGTATGGTGTGTGTGGTGGTATGGTGAGGTGTGTGTGGTATGGTGAGGTGTATGTGGTGGTGAGGTGTGTGTGGTATGGTGAGGTGTGTGTGGTATGGTGAGGTGTGGTGGTATGGTGAGGTGTATGTGGTGGTGAGGTGTATGTGGTATGGTGAGGTGTGGTGGTATGGTGAGGTGTGGTGGTATGGTGCATGTGGTATGGTGAGGTGTGGTGGTATGGTGCATGTGGTATGGTGAGGTGTGGTGGTATGGTGAGGTGTGGTGGTGAGGTGTGGTGGTATGGTGAGGGGTGGTGGTGAGGGGTGTGTGGTATGGTGTGTGTGGTGGTATGGTGAGGTGTATGTGATATGGTCAGGGATGGTGGTGAGGTGTGCGTGGTATGGTGCTTGTGGTGGTTAGGGGTGTGTGGTGGTGAGGGGTGTGTGGTGGTGAGGTGTGTGTGGTATGGTGTGTGTGGTGGTATGGTGAGGTGTATGTGGTATGGTGAGGTGTGGTGGTGAGGTGTGTTTGGTATGGTGTGTGTGGTGGTGAGGTGTGTGTGGTATGGTGTGTGTGGTGGTATGGTGAGGTGTATGTGGTATGGTGAGGTGTGGTGGTGAGGTGTGTGTGGTATGGTGTGTGTGGTGGTGAGGTGTGTGTGGTATGGTGCGTGTGGTGGTGAGGTGTGCGTGGTATGGTGCTTGTGGTGGTTAGGGGTGTGTGGTGGTGAGGGGTGTGTGGTGGTGAGGTGTGTGTGGTATGGTGCTTGTGGTGGTGAGGGGTGTGTGGTGGTGAGATGTGTGTGGTATGATGCGTGTGGTGGTGAGGTGTGTGGTATGGTGTGTGTGGTGGTGAGGTGTGTGGTATGGTGTGTGTGGTGGTGAGGTGTGTGGTATGGTGTGTGTGGTGGTGAGGTGTGTGTTCCAGTGCGTGTGGTGGCGAGGTGTGTGGTATGATGCGTGTGGTGGTGAGGTGTGTTTGGTATGATGCGTGTGGTGGTGAGGTATGTGGTATGATGCGTGTGGTGGTGAGGTGTGTGGTATGGTGTGTGTGGTGGTGAGGTGTGTGTTCCAGTGCGTGTGGTGGCGAGGTGTGTGGTATGATGCGTGTGGTGGTGAGGTGTGTTTGGTATGATGCGTGTGGTGGTGAGGTGTGTGTGGCATGGTGTTCACATTACCTCGTGTGGTGGTGAGGTGTGTGTGGTATGATGTATGTGGTGGTGAGGTATGTGGTATGATGCGTGTGGTGGTGAGGTGTGTGGTCCGGTGCGTGCGGTGGTGAGGTGTGTGTGGTATGGTGTTCACGTTACCTCCACCGTTGCGGTAGCAGAGGTAGGGGAAGCGCCACACGTTCCCGAGGCCAACCGCGTAGCCGATGCTCGTGAGGATGAACTCGATTTGGTTCGACCAGTTTCCCCGTTTCGCGTTCTCATCCTGGCTCGCCACCCGGCCCTCGAGAGCCACACCACCATTCTGCTACCGCCACACCACAGCATCACACCACAACGAGACAGCGCGTCACAACACAGCGTCACGACAAAACAACACGGCGAGTCATGCCGCAGCATAGCAGCACAAGGTCGCATTGCATCATCACGCCACAATGACACAGCGTGTCACAACACAGCGTCACGACAAAACAACACGGCGAGTCATGCCGCAGCATAGCAGCACAAGGTCGCATTGCATCATCACACCACAACGATACAGCGCGTCACAACACAGCGTCACGACAAAACAACACAGCGAGTCATGCCGCAGCATAGCAGCACAGAGTCGCATCGCATCATCACGCCACAACGATACAGCGTCACAAACACAGCATCACACCACAGCGTCACACCACAACGACACAGCGCATCACAACACAGCGTCACGACAAAACAACACGGCGAGTCACGCCGCAGCATAGCAGCACAGAGTCGCATCGCATCATCACAACGATACAGCGTCACAAACACAGCATCACACCACAGCGTCACACCACAACGACACAGCGCGTCACAACACAGCGTCACGACAAAACAACACAGCGAGTCATGCCGCAGCATAGCAGCACAAGGTCGCATTGCATCATCACACCACAATGACACAGCGTGTCACAACACAGCGTCACACCACAGCGTCACACCACAACGACACAGCGCGTCACAACACAGCGTCACGACAAAACAACACAGCGAGTCACGCCGCAGCATAGCAGCACAGAGTCGCATCACATCATCACACCACAATGATACAGCGTCACAAACACAGCATCACACCACAGCATCACACCACAACGATACAGCGCGTCACAACACAGCGTCACGACAAAACAACACAGCGAGTCATGCTGGAGCATAGCAGCACAGGGTCGCATCGCATCATCACACCACAACGATACAGGGTCACAAACACAGCATCACACCACAGCATCACACCACAATGACACAGCGCGTCACAACACAGCGTCACGACAAAACAACACAGCGAGTCACGCCGCAGCATAGCAGCACAGAGTCGCATCACATCATCACACCACAATGATACAGCGTCACAAACACAGCATCACACCACAGCATCACACCACAATTAAACAGCGCGCCACGAAAAAACGTCAAACTTAAAACGTCATCCAATTTTCCTCGACTCCAGTCCGTATGACCCGGTACAGCATGCCACGAATAGCAATCATCTGGTCCGTGGAGCGTGTGTACTCGCTCGGTTTTGCACACGAATGGAAAATGTTGGTAAGAGCACAAAAGGTGAACCGGACTGTCACGAAGACTGGGATTGAGAAATTAAAATGCAATCCGTCGGCCGATGGGCATTGTGAACCAGCGTTAGCTTAAGTTGTCAAACTGTGGGCCCGTTTCGACTTTGTGAGTCTCATCAGTTGCCAGTTAAACAAATTCAGTTTGGGTTTTTTTTCTCCCAACGCTTTGAACATGTCAAGAGATGTGTTGGCCTAAATATACAACGTATTTCCGATCCGATGCGCAGACATTTAGTCATGACTGGCATCTGTTGAGGGAACAGCTGTGCTGTGATTTCATAATTTTGGGCAATCGTCCAAATATACAACACGACCTATGGCGAGTGTTTACATACTGGACGTGTGATACACACCGCGTTGTCCAATTTCACTGACACAGTCGCAGGTAAATAGTGCAAACATGTCAACATTATGGCACTGCGTTGACAGTGGTGTATCAGCACAAATAGATTTCCACAAAAATATACAACGCTCACGTTTCATCGTTTGGGTATAATGCGTTCGTAATATCAATTATGTTGATGTCACCTTCATTCAAGGTGTTTATCGCAGCAATAACAGTTAGCAGTAAATGTTCCTTGTTTCATTCGGACAAGGCATCACTTCGCTTGTACATTAAGACCTTGACCTCCTCCTGTTCATCTCTTAACGCTCACATCTTCTCCATAGGGCACCACGGTGGCTAGGAGATGTTAACTACCTCGCCTGGTATACAATATCGATTTAAAGCTTTCGTGACTACAGGGATTCATCTTATTGGTTCTTTCGGTAAAGTCACGTAGAAGGGAAATAATAAAATTATAAAAGTAAAACATTATAAAATAAAAATGCTCACGACGTTTCGGCCACAACACAAGCAGCCGTCCTCAGGTGAAGAAACAGAGCTGTCGGAAAGACAGCGTTCCATTATTTTATTATTTCCCTTCTACGTGACTTTATCGAAAGAACCAAGAAGATGGAATACAATAGGTCGTTGGTTCGATCCAGACCCTGACACCTGCCGTATATTTCGAGTTTGCGTGTCTCTCTCTCTCTGTCTCCCTGTGGATGAGTGGATTTTTTCCCAGGTCCTCCGGTTTTCCCCTCCACATTTAGAAACATGCCTTTAGAGTATTTGACTGCTATGCATTTCCACACGATAGGCCAATTCACTAGGCTATCATTTGTGACCAGGTCGCTTCCAAATAAAATGGGTATATAGCTCAGTGAGCCTTGCCTGGTAATACAAATAGTAAAATAGTCTTCCTCTTCCCTCCCTCCAACCCTCCCCTACTCTTCCCGAACCCCCAGGTGCCCTCTATCTTGGCCACCCATTCATCAGCCCTAGCACGCTCCTGCCCTATAAAACATTTCGTGCTGGTAGCGTTTTTTAAATTACGTCAAGCGCCTTGATTTAAGGCGCTCTAAACATATAAATTAAGATCAGAGTCTCCAGCCTCTTCTTCAGCATTGAGATGTTTGTTGAACTTCTTTCGCACCGTACGTAGCCAAACCGCGCTAATCGGAAGTGCGGGGAAAGGACAAGAAACTAAACACAAAACGCTGTTTTAGAGAAAAGAGTTTTCAATATAGATTTAAAAGTGCATAGCTCCAGTGGCTTCCTAATAACTAGATGTCTGCGTTGATATGTTTGGCCAATTTCATTTAAAAAGTGATGATATCGTAGATGTATCCATCAGAGATAATCTCTAACATCTCAATTACGCGGGGGTAAGGCGAGCCACATTTTGGCGAGTGTCGCTTCTGAAGCGGAAATTGCCGTGGTTGCTTTTGGGAATAGCAACGCACGAATGCGGTAAAAAAAAAATACTTTTCCGGGAGTTTGAAAAAAAAAGCGAATTTCGTCGTCAAAAAAAATATTAAATACAAAGTTGGCAGCGAGAGAGCGAGCAGGCGGGCGGGCGGGCTAGCGGACAGGCTAGCGAGCGGGCGAATGAGTAGAGGTTTGTTATTGTTTTTTTTTTATATCCCCGCAGTGAAATGCACAGCCACGGGCAAACGCAATAAAGAGGCATCATATAAATGAATAAACGTCACCGCTGTAAATTAGCGGAAACGGCAGCAGCAGCAGCAGCGAGCAGGCGGCAGGGTGCCGTGTGAGGTGGCGATGCAACTCGGAGCGAGGTAGATCACAGCTGCAGTGGTGCTGGTGGTGGCGAGACGTGAAAAATCCGGCCTCCCACGCACGCCACTCACCACCGCAACGATCCCCCGTATAGCCTCAACGGCCTCCACAATCGGAAGGTCACGAGTTCAAACCCTGGCTCGGGCGTCGACTAAGCCCATAATCTCCCTCCCCCCCCAATTGCAGTTAATAGGGCACCGTGGTGGAGCGATGTTAACGCACTCACCTGGTATGCAGGAGGTCGTGGGTTCGATCCCGACCCTGACGCCTGCTGCTGTATATTTGGAGTTTGCATGTCCCTCTCTCTCTCTCCATCATCATCATCATCACGGTGGCTAGGAGATGTTAACTACCTCGCCTGGTGTACAGGAGGTCGTGGGTTCGATCCCGACCCTTGACGCCTGCTGCTGTTTATTTGGAGTTTGCATGTTCTCCCAGTGGTCACGTGGATTTTTCTCCAGGTCCTCCGGTTTTCCCCCCCGCATTCAGAATCAACGTGCGTTTAAAGTATTTGGCTGCTATCAATTTCCACGTGACGTTAAGCCACTTCGTCGCTTCTGAAAAATAGCTAAACAGCTCAGTGGGCCTTACGTGGTAAATGAAGAAAAAATAATAGCGTTTTTATAACAAAATTAGCCAAAATGCCGGAGATTCAAGAACCGTGATTCCCATCACCATGCGATCCGCCGACCCTGATGATAGCCTCGTGCAGTGCACGTACGTACGTTTCCCCAGAGTTAGATCCCAACGGCGCCCCATGGCATCGTGCCATCAAGACGGACGGAGGCGATTCCTACCGGGACCTCCTGGGGCACCGCCTCCTGTTTAGAGAACGTCCCTCGGAAGATGACGCCACGAAACTAGATTTGACCCGCCATCTACTTGACATATGTGAACAAAGAGCTTCATAGCTCATCGGATTCCTCCGGTATAAATACAGATTCTGTGACAGATACGCGGTGTTAATGCCCGGCAAAGATTGCTCATTGCAATCAAAAGCTCTTCCTTTTTCGTCTTTTAATTTTCAGCGCGAGAATTTAGCCAAATTAAGTGCATCGTCGTCGTCATCATCAACATCACAATCTATGGGTAGATAGCCAGCAGGTGTCCACTGCACATTTCATTAAGCACATATGAACCAAATTTAACAAAGTGGGGTTTTTAAAATGTGTTTTTTCGTGAAGTAAATGGTGACCGGGCTAAGACAATCAATCCGCTACACTCGAGACTCTGGTACTGGTAGGAACCTCCTGGTTACACCAGCCCACAGGGGATTATTGTGTCCGTCCGTACATCGGTCGTGCATCCAAAAATGGGAGGGGTGGGGCTGGGTGGTGAGGGGAGGGTGGGGAGGGGCTGGATGGGGAGGGGCTGGTCACCCCGTGGTGCCCTTAAACGTGTAACCTACTCACGCCGGCTTGTGCCCGCCCTCACAGTCGGGCATATTTGCGAAATACACCACGCCGCCGTTGACCCTGGCCATTGACCGAGCAACCCAACGTTCCTACCAGCTCCCTCCGCAGGATTATTAACGAGTGATCTCAGCGGTGCCGGCTCCACGTCTGAGCCAACCCACCACCACCACCTCATTGT